TGCTGAAAGGTATTCTTTAAGAAGAGGAAGAAGAAGAAAAAGGTAAAGATAAAAAATTATGAAGAACAAAGTGACAACAAATAAATATCTATCAACAAGTGAATCTAAAAATCAAATGAATAAAAAACCTGATGAACAGAACAGACTGGTGAATGTAATAGAATCAGGGGCATGGAAAGGGAGCAGACTGACAATTCTCGGAGGAAAGAGGGTGTGGGGGTGCAGGAAAAGACTGGACAATAATCATGCACCTATGGATGAGGACAGTGGGGGCGGGGTAAGGGCATGGGGTGGGGTGAGAACTGGGTGGAGGGGAGCTATGGGGGGGGCGGAAAAGAGGAACATCTTCAATAATCTGAACAATAAATATTTATTTTTAAAAAAAGTATAATAAACAATGTGATTGGAAAAAAAAGAGATAAAGAGAATCACTACCTTTTGTGTATATTAGGCAAAGATAGCTTTTATATATTGGCCCTGAGTTGTTTATTTACAGGAGGCTGAGACCCACTACCTCAAAAGGCCTCTGGCACGAAACCAAAACTTTACTTTACACATCAGTTGTTTTAAACACAGCCCAGACAAGTAGGTTTTTAGTCATTCAGAGCTTGCCTGCTTTACTTAATGTGAAACTGTGTCCAAATCTGCTTACCACAGACAAAATGAGCCTTAGGCTTAGGCTACAAAGATGCTAAGTTGCTGCTACCCTTTGGAATTTTCTGACCCAGCATCTCCCTACCAGGCTGAATGCTGCAGCGTGACAACATACAAAAGCCCCCTAAATACGCCCCCCTCCCACTTCTCTACCCCAGGAGTTCCCGTGCCCCCTTTCCTTCTGGATGGTGGCCCCCATGGCCTTAAGCCTCTGGATGGTCTCACACTCTTAGGGCCTTCTGCAGACCTGGCAAAGTATTGCCCAAATGAAGCTTGTGTGATAGTGCCACCTCGTGGCCATAGTTTTTTTCTTGATCAGTCCTGAAATGTTCAAATTCACCTTACACTACATCATAATAAAAGTAAAAACTCTCTAAGAAGATACACTGATCCTAAAATTGCAGATACCTAATAATACATCCCAAAATAAACAAAGTTAATTAAATTACAGTAATTTAATTAGAAGGAAAAATTTTAGAGATAATTTTTTAAAAAAGATCAATAGTTGCAATTCATTTTCAATACAAAATGGAAGGAGAGAGGAATGTGTTTGGCACCCAAGGAATCCACTGGGGGATCTCTAGGTAGCCTCTTGTTTAATTTTGGTGGCTTGATTTAAGTAGACAAGTGCAGTTTGTGCATGGCATCCAACACTCAGTCAAGGAGGACTGGTGACCTGGGCTCAGACACCTCAGGGATGAGGATCTGGGTCCGTCCACCAGATAAGTGACTGAGACCAGCAGAGGTGCTAGCTGAGGGTGAGAGGAATGTAGACCAGACAGCACATGGGTAGCAGAGGAGGGAGATGATCAGTTGAGGGTGCAAGACCAGCTGCTGAGCTTAGGCGCTGTAGTTCATTCCACTAATGTGCTTTCATACATTTCCCCAGCAAAAGAAACCAACCAGAATCCTGAAGGAGCTTTTCTTAGATGCAGTGAAATCATATGAAGCAATAGACACAAATGACACAAGGGGTGGACAGCACTGTGTTCTGTGGTGTACATAAAACTGAGGCACTCATTCCCCTGCCATCTTCAACTGTTGTCTGTTGAGGGCTCACAACCAAGTCCCTCACATAAAAGGAGCTGTGTCGCCCAAATTACACTTCCTCCCGAGGACAGTACACATCCAATGGCCACTTGATGGGATATTAATTGTTGCCAACAGACTTTTAAGTAATATGTTGTCAGTGAAAGAAAAAGAAAACTTGAGTTAGATGAGCTTTTGGGGAACTGTTGGTGAGCGGACAGGAAATAATGATCATGTGGTCAGTGGGGGCCACTGAAATTCAGAGGGTTATTCAAGCAAAAAGCAACTGAGATAGGTGCCTATTTTGTATTAGGAAGCAATTCAGCCTGATGGATTACTTTAAATATTCCAAAGGTATTTACAGATTAATTTTGTTCTTGAGATATGTAAATACTGAGAACACATTCTATTTTACATTTTTCAATTAAATTAACTTTGTAATAAAAATCATAGAAAAGCCGAAACCGGTTTTGCTCAGTGGATAGAGCGTTGGCCTGTGGACTGAAGGGTCCCAGGTTCGATTCCGGTCAAGGGCATATACCTGGGTTGTGGGCACATCCCCAGTAGGAGATGTGCAGGAGGCAGCTGATCGATGTTTCTCTCTCATCGATGTTTCTGATTCTCTGTCTCTCTTCCTTCCTCTCTGTAAAAAGTCAATAAAATATATTTTTTTAAAAAAATCATAGAAAAGCTCTATAATCAAATCACATTTATTCAGTCCTTGCTTCTGTGTAGTCTCCACATATTTGTATCTTTTAATTTTTGTCTCATGTAAGAAAATTCATTAGAAGCAGGCAGGTGCATTTGGGAGGTGGGTGGGTGGGTGAACATGAGGCATAATGAAAAATGTTAAGCAAAGTTAACATATAATAAAAGCAAATGACTCTGTTAAAATAAGCAAAACCTGGTACTAGGCTAGCGATTTTCAACTGGTGTGCTGCAGTAATTTTTAAAACATGCAATACTTGACTATTTAGTCAGGGGCACTGACCTCTTTTTCCTTAGATTGTCAAATTAAAAAACATGACAACAGGCAACACAACAATAGCTGTCCAATGTAAATGAATCAAAATTACACCTATTCTTTTTTTGTCAAATTGGCAAAAAATATAATACATTTTTTAGTGTGCTACAGAATTTTAGTAATTAGTTTATGTGTGCTATGAGATGAAAAGGGTTGAAAGTAGCTGTACTAGACTATTAGAAAAGAGGCAAGACTTAAAGTGCTGAGGGATTTTAATGAGTTACTCATTAATGCTATGTTCTTCTTAGCAAATATCTCTAGAGTAAGACTGAAATAGTGACAAATTAGCATGTAGACATTTTACGGGTGATTTTGTATTTTTGTCATCTCAGCTTTCTCCTATTTAATATATATGTATATGTATATGTATATGTATATGTATATATTTCTATTTGAGTGCTTGTATGACTCTCAGAAATTCGAGTTTTAACTGCACCAGGGTTTTGCTTATTTGATGTTACCAAGTACCACTTGGTTCTTGGCTGCAACAAGACAATCCAAATACAAAGGTTTCTTAGGGTTCACTAGGATTTTGTTGATCATATTCTCATTGTTCTTCCTACTTGGGAGGCAGTGTGATAACAGTAAAACTGACAAGGAATTTGGAATCTTCAAACTGGGCACTGAGAGATTATGAACTAACTTGACTAAGGTTATAGGCAAGTAATATGGCATTCAAAACAGGCAGTCTGGCCCAAAGTCTGCTCTCTAAATAACGATGACACAGAGAAGTTTGTTGCATGGAGGCTCACACGCTTTTGTTTTGGAATAACAATGGAGAAAAGGATCTCAGGGAATCAGGACACTATGCTGCCAGGTGAAAAAGTCTAACAATAAGCAGTAATACCTTTTAGTAGGAGGGAATATCATTGAATTAGAGGACGAACTACATCATTCATTCATTCATTCATTCATTCATTCATTCATTCATTCTTGTAGGCAAGTAATGGTTATTTATTGTGTACTTCTTGCTTCCCCGGGACTTTGCTAAGTGCTAGGGAAAAACAATGGGGGAAACCCTAGACATGGTTTCTATTCTTTCTTTGTGATCTAGTGGGAAGATTCAGTCAGTAATCAAATAGTCATACAAAATAATAATATATGTACATTCATGTGTGGTGGAGTGGGTGGAAGGAGAAGAAAAGATATATTTTTAAACGAATCAATGTATCTCTATTTTAAAATCATAACATTTAGCTCCATAATATTTAACAATATTCAGCCTGCAATTTATCTCTATGACTGTTCAGGCCATACACTAATGCTCTAACCCAGTGATGGTGAACCTATGACACACGTGTCAGAGGTGACATGGGAACTCATTTTTTTTTTGGTTGATTTTTCTTAAAAGCAGCAAGAGAAAAACAGTTGGTTACCTACAAGGGAGTACCCATACGACTGTCAGCTGATTTCTCAACAGAAACTATGCAGGCCAGAAGGGAGTAGCAAGAAATATTCAAAGTTCTGATGAACAGAATAAACTGTTGAATATAATAGAATCAGGAGCATAGAAAGGAAGTGGGCTGACTATTCTCAGGGGATGGGGGAGGAGTGGGGGCGTGAGGGAAGAGACTGGACAAAAATCGTACACTTATGGATGAGGACAGTAGGGGTGGGGTGGTAAGGGCAGAGGGTGGAGTGGGAACCGGGTGGAGGGGAGCTATGGGGGGAAAAAAGAGGAACAACTGTAATAATCTGAACAATAAAGATTTAATTTAAAAAAATATTCACCTTATCTGTGTTCCTCCAATGAAAGTCGACATTAGTGTGAATAATCCTCCGGCTCCATGTATACTGATGCTTTTGCTGACTATGACGGCAGAAACACACAAACTCAAAATAAGGCCTGCTCTCTTCATTGGAAGATTTGTCTAGAATTATATTAAATTTGTATAAATTATTTACATTAAACATATAATACAACATTTACGTTCTCTATCATTCATTATTGACCTTTTGATACTATAATATGATATATTAAATAATGTATAAAATTTTGGCTTTCTTCCTCACCAAATATTTTAGCAGCTTGATAACAAGAGCCAAAATTTATTGTTTCATCTGCCACATTAATGTCAGTAAAATGGTTAAAATTTCAACTGTAAGTGAAAAAGGAAAGAAAAGATAGAGCAATATAACCTGTAGTTCTATATAACATATCCAACAGATTCTTAAAAATAAATTTCTGAAAATCTCATTAGCAAGGACAACTGTTACAGGCAAATCAAAATGGACATTACAGATATACAAAAGTAATGGCACATTCTTTTTTTTGGCATATTCTTTAGGGCAAGAAAGGATTGAGTTTAATAGTGTTGCCTTAGTCAAAGGGAGTGGGAGTGAATTTAACTCAGAAAATATAAGGAGGTAAATGGGAATCTATCTCTCCTAAAATGTTCAAGGGAAAGTATGAGTTAAGAAAGATTAGAAAAAGTTGTCAGAAGTCAGTAGGCAATTTAGTGAAGAACGGGGTGGGGTGAAATGGAATTGGTATTCTGATTTAATTATATATTTTTAAAAAGTATCCATTGCAAAGTATTATGCATTAGTAAGCTCAATTTAAAAAACAATAGCATAGTAAAAAGATACGTTATCTCTGTCATAGCAGAACAGATTTCAAAAAATATATTTTTAAAGGTATTTAGTATGTACATAATCCTTGATAAAAGGTGTATAAATTTTTTCCTGTCAACACCTTCATTACATTTATAAATACAAGATTTATACAGCATTCCATCAAAAAATTTTCCCTAATATTCCTTATTTGCCAAGTCCAGAAGCACAGACTTTAGTCAAGGTCATTGACTCCTATTAATCAGAACTGTGTTCAGTTTAAAGCAAAGTAGGCAAAGGAGGCTACACTTTCGGGGAAGGACAATAAATATTAAATGTAATATATCATGGGTATTATAGAAGTTCAAACTTTGAAAAAAATAACCAATACTATACTTCTAAAGGTTGACTAATTTTTTATTTACCTGATCTTCACTTGGAAAATATCGAAGAAAAATTCCCAAAAATGTTCCTAGTAGCACACCAAAAATTATGTCCCGAAAAGAAGTTAGGAGATCATGAAGTATGCCACCTATAAGGGCACACATAAGGAAAATATATCATAGAGAAATATTTTACATACCCAACACATCAGAAAATCAAGCGTAGGTGGTTTATGAAGAAAGGTATGTATTTTATAGAACAAATATACAAAAATGAATCTTTAATATTAATAAATATAAAAGATGTATGCAAATCTATTTGATACATTAGATGTGTAGTCTTAAATAATTTAGTACACACACTCAATTCAGAAATGTTTATTGAATAAACAGGCCAGAAAACAAATAAGTAATATGCTGCAATGTGCTCCCCTTACACACCCTGACTACAAGCTCAAGTAAGGTAGAAGAATGGACAGAGATTGACAAAGAAGTACCTCTGGCACCTAGCACAAGGCTGGTAATATTTATTTCCTGATGTATGATTATGACAAAGAAAAAAATTATTTAAAAATAAAAAAAAAACAACAGCCTCGCCTGCGTGGCTCAGTGGTTGAACATTGACCTATGAACCGGGAGGTCATAATTCAATTCCCACTCAGGGCACATGCCCGGGTTGGGGGCTTGATCCCCAATGTAGGGCATGCAGGAGGTAACTGATCAATGATTCTCTCTCATCACTGATGTTTCTATCTCTCTCTCCCTCTCCCTTCCTCTCTGAAATCAATAAAAAAAATATTTAAAAAAGTAAATATCAAAAGAACAATTTAACAGTAACAACATAAAAAAAGATTTATTCTAGGGTCAACCCTGAGACTATTCAAGGGTCAACTGAGTTATCAATATATTTTATGCAACCACATCTGTATAGAATAGTACTTAAAAGTGTGGGTCTGGAGTCAAACAGCCAGATTTGTATCTTGGCTACCCTACTTAATTTGTGACTTTGAGCAAATTTATTTATTTATCTATCATCTATCTATCTATCTATCTAACTCTCTATTTATTTATTTAAATCCTCACCTGAGGATATTTTTTTCCCATTGATTTTTCTAGAGAGAAGAAGTGCCAGTGGAGAGAGAGAAACATCAATGTGAGAGAGGTACATAGACTGGTTGTCTCCACATGCAACTGACCTGGGCTAGGTCGAACCTGTAACTAAGGTATGTGTCCTTGACTGGGAATGGAACCTGAGACCCTTTGGTTGACAGTCTGATGCTCTAACTACTGAGCAAAACCAGCCATGGCTGAGCAAATTATTTAACCAATGTTCCTCAGTTTCCTTGTCTATAAAATGAGCATAGTACTATTGTGACCATTAAATGGGTGGAAACATCAATGGAACTTAGAACAAGTATGAAGCAATTACCCAATAATGTTAATCACTGTTTATTCTGTGTTTGTCATAATGGCTGGCACAATGAAAGAGGAACACAGATATATATATATCTACACTAATAAAAGAGAAACATGGTAATTGGTGTACGACCACTACCCTTCCCATTGGCTAATCAGCGAGATATGCAAATTAACTGACAGCCAAGATGGCGACTGGCAGCCAGGCAGCTTAAACTGAACATGAGGCTTGCTTGCTTCAGTGACGGCGGACTCCAACGTTCCCCGCCTGCTGCTGCAGGCCTCTGAGAGGGCAGTTTGAAACATCGTAACATATAGAAGCTAAAAAAAACTCCAGAAACCTGCTTTCAGCGAGCTGGATCTCAGAGCTGGAGTTGATACAGAGTTTTGATTAGAGAACACAAACGAGTCTGGGCCCGAGGGTTTCCGCTTTCCCAGCAGCAGAGGCCGCAGAGCTGGAGCCACAGCAGTAAAGCTGGCCCAGAATAAAAAATAAAAAAAAAGGAGCGGTTGGGAGCTTCTGTAACCTGCCAGCCTGAAAACAGCCCTCAGCCCCTCACCCAGACTGGCCAGGAACCCCAGTGGGGCCCCACACCACGCAGG